TAGACCCACTCTATCAACCACTACTCGATAATTACCCTGGGATACAACTAACTCAACAGAAACTACCGAGTGTAACCAGCAACGTTACACATCACATCACGACTACAGGACCACCTGTATTCTCTAAAGCACTACGATTAGCTCCTGAAAAGCTAAGGTTAGCGAAAAACGAATTCGATCACATGATAGACTTAGACATCATACGACCGTCAAACAGCCCATATGCATCTCCGTTGCACATGGTACCTATAAAGGACAGCAACGATTGGCGTCCAACTGGTGACTATCGGCGATTGAATGCGAAAACCATTCCCGATCGTTACCCGTTGCCTCACATTCACGATTTGACAGCTACCTTGAAAGGTACAACTGTCTTTTCGAAATTCGACTTGGTTAAAGCGTATAACCAAATCCCTATGGTTACTGACAACATACCGAAAACAGCTATCATAACTCCCTCCGGACTCTATAGATTTTTGCGAATGCCTTTCGGTCTAAGAAACGCTGCTCAAACATTCCAAAGATTCATAGACGACGTTTCTCGAGGTCTCAACTTCGTACATGCGTATGTTGATGACTGCCTAATCGCAAGTCCGGACAGAGAATCACATCTCAAGCATCTGGATCTTGTTTTCGAACGATTACAAAAACATGGCATTACTGTAAACGTTCAGAAATGCCAAATCGGGACCGACTCGTTAGACTTCCTAGGACACACTATCAATGCTCAAGGCATTCGACCTCTTAGGACCAAAGTGGCGGCCATTCTGGATTAAATAGAACCGACGGCGTTCTTCATGGTCAGCACTGAAAACTCTCATTTTATTTATGTGAATGAATTTCCTCAGTAAGAATCGACTGAGTTATTGCTCTCCACTGACAATGTTGAACTTTGGAGAGAAGTTAGCAACCGAGATGATCGGTTGTCTGACACTTCAGAAAGCCCGGTGTGACTTGAGAGTTGGAAGGATAACAATGGATTAACCTTCAACACTTCAAGGTCCGAAGTAGTTCATCTGAGTCATTGCAAACTGTGATTACAACTTAGGTAATTTCTCTTCAGAAGTATTTCAATTTAAAAAGAATCTGAAATTCTTGATAACCTACTGTCCAATCTCTTGCGCTTTCTGTGAAAAAATGTTTTCAAACAAACTTTGCGCTCTCAACATTGAAGTGTGTTTTGGCAAGTTTGACTGCAAGATTTCCAACCTAATCTGCAATTATTTTAATCCTTATTTAGGGTGAGGAAAGATAGCGCTTCTTTCCCCTAATAAAAATGATAATAATGCATTAGAGCGCATTCAAAAGCGAGCTGCAGAAGCTCACTACCAACACAATGCTTAGGTTTTAGAAATTAGAGGCACAATTCGGCGAAACGGTCCGCAGAAGCGCATTCTAATGTGCATGAATGGTAAAATTCTTGTGCTTTTTGCAGTTTCATGTGGTTTCAGTGATCTTTCGGGATTCCTTCATGAGGAAAGTCGACACTATAACTTACTAATATATCTCTTTCCATCGTTAAATATAACTAGGCTCCGATCCAGAAGCCTCAGTGATCCACCAAAACTAGATAGGAAATCTCGTTGGGCTAAAGATTTCTCTTTATCTGTCTAAAAGGACAAACTGTTTGTTCCCTGTGGAGGAGAGAATGCAGTCTGATGAATGCAATAAGTGGTTCCATAAGATGTGCACTTGTTTAAGTCCCACCGCACAAAAAAGATGTTCGAAGACTAACTCACATTGGCTTTGCATGTTTTGATGTGCAAATAAGGCATTATTAATACAGGAGGCTGTGAGCCTATTGGCTTTGGCCTGTAAGAAGAACGATGGCACATCCACTGACAACACGGGCACTGACAGTGACGAATGTGTCAATGTAGTACTTACTGTTATGCGACGCCTCAAACAACGGACTCTGACCGACGCAAAAGTGAAATCTCCGTTAACATTAACAAGGGGAGTAATACCACCTGGTACTGACATTGGTAACAATGCACCTTTAGTGGGAACCGACGAACTGGATAAAACCGTCACCGTTCCAAATAGTCCTAATGTCCTGAGGGATGAAAAATGGACCACGAAACGAAAAGAAAAAAACTGAAGGCAGTACACAGGTAGTTAGTAACTCACTGGTGGACTCCCATTGTGAGTCACAAACTGCACTACCAAAATCTGATGGTAAGAGTGAAACCCATCCTGGCGTGACTGAGAAGAAAAATCAAATAACATCTTATATTATCTTGAGCGAATTGCGGGAGTCAAACGACCCTGATCCCCAAATTAGACACGTGCATGATTTAGAAAACCTAGGAGAATATATTCGTAGATAACTCTAAAGAAGTTCAGGTCAAAAAATTGGTTAGAATATGCAAGAGGACTGAAGACAGTGTTGAACCCCAACCATGCAAACTCCCTAAGGTAATCCTAGGATCAGAGAAGCAGCGGGATCTCCTGTTAAGTAGCGCACGTTGTCACGACGGTTCCGACATCCGAGTCAGACCTGACATGTCTCTCGGAGATAGAATAAAAAGGAAGAAAGCACTAAGTGAACTTGAAACCCGTCTGCGAAACAGTGGGGGAAAATCTCCGGCTAGTGGGTGTTCGGATAGTCAGGTCTTGGAAGCGAATGCTGCCAAGGCCTGTGTGGATAGGCCGTTCTACTTAAAAGTTTTATATGCCAACGTTCGTAGTCTACGAAATAAGTTCTATGAACTAGAAGCACTAATGGGCAGGTTAAAACCACTCATTGTAGCAGTGACAGAAACTTGGTTAATCCATGACTTAGACATTAATCCAGAATTATCCGGATACCATTACCTCAGGAGTGATAGACATAAATGTAGAAAAGGAGGTGGCATCCTGTTATATATAGCCAATAGCATAAATATCCGATCCTCTACTAGCGAACCCCATGATAGCGGTACTTTTGAAGTCATTAGCTATAAGTTGGCTATCGGATGTAGTACATTTAGGCTCGGCGTCATCTATCGCAGCCCAATCTTCTTAGCTGATGACTTTATTCTAGAGCACATTCATCTTTGGAGTGCAAATGCCAGATGCTTGTTAATAGGAGACTTTAATGCACCTGATATTAGTTGGACTGAGATGACCACAGAAGAATCTATAAACTCCTTTGATAGTAGGTTCCTGATAACAGTAATGGAGCATGCACTAGTGCAGCATGTATCCAAACCCACACGTTTTGGTGTTAACCAAGGTTCTTCTCTGTTGGACTTGGTAATCACTCATGATACTGAGGATTTTGTCGACCTATATATTCTTCCACCGTTAGTGAATAGCGATCACGCTGTTTTGTCATTCGCGTTTCGAACTAGGGACATGTTATACGATCAGATTACACCCCGCCCAAATGTGTGGAAAACTAACATATCAGCCATTCAGGAATGCGCTGCTAAGACAGAATGGTTTGTAGATACTAGCTTATCAGTTGAAGAAGCATGGTCTGTATTTAAAGGTAAGTTTAGTCTGGTTACGTCCCCGTTCATACCATACCTAGTGCCACGAAGACCGAGTAACAGTCCACCCTGGATAACTAAACCAGTCAGGAAACTTCTTAGGAAAAGGAAGAAGCACTGAAATATGTTCATTTCTACTGACTTAGAACAATACAGACCCAGTTATTGTAAGATTAGGATTGTCTGTAAAGCGTTAATAAGCAAGACCAGACTATCATATGAAAAACAACTGGTTAGTGATTCTAGATATAGTCCGAAACGGTTATTATCGTATATAAAAAGGCAAACAAAGAGAAGCGATGGAATTCCATCACTTTTGATACGATATAATCTTTTAATCTTAGCAGAGAATGATGCCGAAAAAGCTGAAGCTTTATCGGAATACTTTAGTAAAGTGTTTTCTATCGGTAATGAGGAACGACCAACGATGCATCGTGACCGTGACGGCTCGCTGATGGATCATGTAGTCATTGAGAAATATACTGTTTTAAGGCTACTGCAGCATCTCAAACCTGATAAGTCCAGTGGTCCTGATTATATTCATCCTAGGATTATGAAAGCCACATCAGATGAAATTGCTGAACCATTAGCGATGCTATTCGACATGTCTCTGAGACAGTCCAGACTTCCTAGAGATTGGAAAGACGCCATAATAAGTCCGGTGTATAAGGCTGGGAGTAGGGATTTAGTTAGTAACTATAGACCTGTTAGCTTACCTAGTGCAGTTGTAAAACTGATGGAGAAAATCATTCGGATATCCGTTCTAAACTATATTGAAGGGCATAATCTTTTCTCCAGGGAACAACATGGTTTTCGGAAAGGACTATCTTGCTTGACAAATCTTCTCACTGCAAGAGAAGATTGAGATGCTGCAAAAGATCGAAATGTTTCTGTGGATGTGATTTTCATAGATCTAAGTAAAGACTTCGATAAGGTTTCCCACTCTGGTCAATTCGTAGGTCTTTCCAGTATTTAGACGATGAAATGTTTAGAGTACTATACTCGATTTATGTGCGACCACATTTAGAATGCGGGATTCAAGCAGCGTGTTCTTGTTTCAAGTATGAAGCAGATATGCTAAGATGGTACAAGGTCTATCTGGCCTATCTTATGAAGACATACTGAGACGCCTTAACTTATTTCCGTTATCTTACCGTAGAATACTGGGTGATCTAATATTGGCCTATCGTATTCTGAACGATGACCTTGGTATTAACATGTCTTATCTCTTACTTCCGTCTAGGACCGATCATTTGAGAGGACATTCGAAGGAAGTTCAAAATGCGAGATCAAATCGTTTACCTCTGGAGTTCCGTTTCTCGCATCGAGTAGTGAATTACTGGAATTCTCTACCAGAACACGTAATATCAGCACCTTCTGTTAACATATTCAAAACGAGATTGGACCTCCACAGTATTACAAACTGCAAGGATTAATGTAGGTCGATAGACCTCCTATCCTTATTATTGAGGACTGAAGACAACTATCGGAGCCATTCTATAGTTATTGAATACTGAAAGGACCGTTTTAAGGTGGTACGTTACGTGAGGTCGGGCTTGGTGGATCTCGTATTTTGTTTAAAGGGAACCCTCTGTAATTTACTGGTGAACAGCTTTGATATCCTAACTCGTTGAATCGATTGGTTGGAAAACAGTAAATGCACGGCTTCTTTATTCTGATCAGTTGTTATCATCCCTTCTTGAGTTAAACTTCAAATCCTGGGACCCTTGCATTATTATTTGTTTATTTTATTTATTTCAACACGTAGATATTGATATGAGGAGGCACCAAATACATATGCGCCACAAAAACCTCATTTGATATGTGTGAGGACTGTGTTACTGCCCGGGTGCCCAAACCGAAGCAGGATGTTGATATTAGATCATAATGATAATGCTAACTTAGACAGCCAATTTTATTTCCTGATATCAGTTTTCAACCCCGTTTTTAATGCACACTTCTTGGACTTGAGTCTTTACGTCCGACATTAGCTTGGGATTATAGCACAGCTCTACTGGCCTGGTTTAATGTTGAATTATTGTTTCCACCTTCAATGTAACAGAATGAAAATACATTAAAACACATCATAGATAAGGCGTAAGTTCAAATCCAGCCCGGACTTCGGTAACTGTAATAGTTTTATCAACGATTTGGCATTTAATAAAGCAATTTGAAGAAACAGGAATTACGCTTTTTCATCAGTCGTATGTGGAAGTATCTTAACGTATTCAGTCACCTTAAATGTATACCGCTTTGTATTTATCTTCTACCCATTCATTTTCTTAACTCTGGTCATTCCTCCTTACCATTGTAAATTTTAACGATACACATTTAAACCTGGTCTTCCTGAATCCTTTCTTATGTTTGTTCGCTCTATTAATCGTTGCATTGTTTCACCATCGTAACTCCTATTAGTCTGTTGATAAGATAGTTTCAACTGACGTTCATATAGTTAAGACGGTTAGACGCAAACTAGATCTTGGATTAGTATGGAAAACTTGAATCAGTATTTACAGTTGAAAGTTAGGGTTAGAAATTGGGGTTTTTATCATGGAATGACATCAGCTATAATGCCGAAATGCTAATTTGCCTTATGTATTAGTGAATTTTGGGTCAAGATCCATGACTTGGTATCTTTAATCTGATTAGTTTGTACATAGCTTATAGTCCGGTCAATAAAACTAATGGGACTTAACAATGATTTTTATCCCTGATAAGGGTTTCCTCTTATGTTCAACTCGTAGTTTTTTCTAGAGTGCTGCTACTCAATTCTCTAAGCTCACATCTGTCAGTCGTTAACAAGGTTTTCAGTCCTATTACAAGTATGTGAACGGTTATCAATTTCCGGTCATCTATATTGTGGAATGATTTCGCTTCTTGAACGACTTAAAAGTAAAACTAGACCACAAATATTAATCTGCGAGCTTGACAACAAACTCCAAGAGACAGTTTCTTAAAATGTCGCATGTAGCCATTTTGCGAAAGGTTCGTAAAGTCGTGGGTCTGTGCTTTGAAGGACTTACAGCCAGTAATATTGATTTATTTAAATACAAATATTTGTACAATTGGGCACTGAATACATATGCGCCACTCATGTCACTTGATTTGTATGTGGGCTGGGATACTGTCAGGGTGCCCAGATGGAAGCAGGTGGTTTTCTCAGAGGGTCACACCCCAAGCCTTCTACCTAAAGGTCTGATCCACAAGGCGGTGGAGCAACATAAGGAGATGCAGTTCCATGATAGCCGGTGACCAATGATTGGTTCACACACTATTTGTTCCCCCAGGATCCTGTAGCTGATCTGCACAATTGGTTTGGAATCAGGGTTTTCCAACTCCCCTAGGTGAACTCTCCGTGTTCACCAACCCGGTTATTTATTTTAACACATAGATATTGGTACAAGCAGGCACCAAATACATATGCGCCACACAAATCTCATTCGTTATGTGTCCGGTTAGATCGCCAGACATTCGCTTTTCGTCCTTCCAATTTTGTGAACAACACCCCCGCCGCGAGAAGGCAGTAAGTAGGACTTCCTTGAAAGTGGCTGCATATGCGTAGTCATGTGAGAGCACTTTGAGAGGGAGAGCTGACTCTCCCCACCTTTAGCATTTGGGGGCAACCAGTAAAGGGAATTCGTTTGACAGTGTGCCGTATGTTGTTTCTAAAGTCAACCCTTTCTACCCATTCTGTAGTAAAGCAGCATCTCTAGAGCTGCTGGTTGTATGAGATATCTTAACGCCTTTACATCTCAGTACAGTTTAGAGTACGTCTTCATCCTCAAACGAGTTGTTACTTTTATTATCGTCCTACAACTGACTTCGTTGGGATGATGCGGCCTAAGAAAACAAATGTCTTCGCCAATATAGCTCGAATGGGTCACTACGGTATCCGAGCTCGATCCCTATATCAAGTTAGCTTTGAATGAGGCCATTCAGTGTAAAATACATATACTCACTCAGGATATATACAAATTATATGCGTTTGCTATTACTTACTTACGCCTGTTACTCCTCGTGAAGGAGCATAGGCCGCTCACCAGCATTCTCTGCTATACTTGTCTATATTATAAGAAGTATTCAAAAATGAAGAATATTTGAGCGAGCAATTGTTTTCAATAACTTCATCATCAGGCTCTACAGTTATAAGTAATCAAAATGAATGAAAATATCTGAGAGTAAACAAACAATGTATATGATAGGTGAGAATAAGTGATGGGTAATGGGATTCGGAGTGTTCCATTTCCTATTAACAGTTTCACAAACTCATGGGCTTTTAATTGGTTATTAATACAAATGTTACCTCATGGTTGGCAGTGGAAAATCCCTTATGTTACTTGTTTTTGTTAACGACAGACTTCCTTTCTATGTACTATTTTTATTCCATTCTATGATCTCGGTATCCAAGTGTGACGAGTTTATTTTAACGAGTGAATCTTTAAATATAGTCAATTCATGTTTTCATTTTATGTTTTATTATTTATCCTGTTAAACAGTGATAACTTTTCAAACTACTTATAATTTGTTAGTAACTGAACTATCCTAACTAAAATATTGTTCGAGACTATCTATATATAATTTTGAAATGGAGCTGTTTAAAAGTAACGTGTCTCTAATAAATATGATGGTTTTAAAATAATCAGGAATAACTATAGTTGAGTAAATACAGGTAAATTTGCCACGAGAAAATAGGGTTGTAATGGCTTTCATAGACACTGAGCTTTTTTCATCAATATTCTAAACCATTTCATATGAATGTTAACCAGCATACTAGTATTTTAATACTTGTTATTATTCTTAAATTTCATCTGCAAATAGTGAAAACTTAAAGACAATTCAGGTAGTTGTATGGGATATCATTATGGCGAGTGATATTTGACTCACTTGTTAGCGTTGAAATATTATTGATGATTTTGACTTGAGAAATTCCTGTTTTGATTATTTCAACGCCTTCATGGTCTCATAATCAAAACGCCAATCTAAAATGAACTTTTTAGCTGCAACTGGATAATAGAAAGCAAAATCATAACCAGATCAGTCTCATTTTCTCCACTTCATACTACCACTAAACCAGTATATAAAAAACAGCTGCATGGGGTCAAAAATGGTCATATCCCTATACCGTTCAAGCAATTTTCTGGTGGTTTACACCCAGTAATTATTATTTTAGTCAGTAACTTTGTTAAAAGGTTGACGTTGTTAGATACTAACAAACCACTTCAAAATAGTGGTGGCATTTATTCATCACGGACGTTATTGTGCTGGAGATAAGTATACATACTTTCATGATTGTATGATGAATATAATGACAATTGTCTGCTTATTAGTGTACTTATTACACTATTCATGCTCTTCATATGCAATGACTGGTTTTTTATCTATATCAGGCAGTAGTAGATTTTCTCCACTCATCAATATATCCACTGCATCTGTGGCCGGAAAAAAATTTGGTTAGAAATTTTGGACATTAAGTATTTGTATTTATTCCTATAACTTCTACCCACACCATGAGCGAATTTGAAATTGCACCTTATGTTCTAATGGGAAGCTAACACTCAATGAGTCTCATATCCACAACATAATTGTAGACTTTAAGTAACCGCTTTACCTTTGTTATCAGATTCCACCAAGTATCTAATCTACTAATAGAGGTGGGAATTTTCTACTACACAATCTTTTCAGGCTTAGTGGATAAGTGTCATTGGTTGACTGTATCAGTTATCGAAACATATCCTCAAATTTACTTACGTCCACGTTAGCCTATGAACTAAAAAGCTTGGTGGTTGGAACTTGCCAACAAGTTGGAAGCTGCGTCCCTATCTAACAGCTTGTGAAAATTATTTCAGCTTATTTGACTCACTGGGAGCAAAACGTCTGGTTTCGGTAATGTTATCTGTGATGTTGATAGCATGTCAATTGATAACATCTTATGATGTACTGTTTTTCGAAAAATATTTCGTCTCGTTAGTTGTTCAAAACTGTCCTATCCACCGTAGCCGGTGACGATTGATCTGCCCAACGAAGAGGAAGTTCACATAGCAATTCAGATTATAAGGTCCCACAAATCACCAGGCCTAGACGACTTACCCTCTTTGTTTCTAAGAAAGGTGGAAAAGGTTTAGAAAAGACTGTTCCAACGTCCTGGAGTAAAGCAGCCGTCGTCCCAAATTTTAAGAGGCATTACTTATGCATACACTCTAGGGGGATAAGTTTACTTCTGACTGCTTCCAGAACTTTGAATTCCGTCATATTTCAGATTTTGTTAAACCCATGGAAGACTGAATTATATAGAGCAGGCTGGCCTTTGATTAAGTTATGGATATGTGTATTGTATCTCCACATTCCACTATATGTTAGATTGCTTCACTTATTCCAAGTCAATATTCATTGTGTTTGTCAATGTTAGTTAATGTTACCATCTTTAAACACCATAAACATATCTCACAGCATCATTCTGACTTCTAAATTATGGATTACTCGCAAGTTTTAGCACTGGGTGGCGAAGGCAAATTAGTCAGTATATGATATGAAACTGTGGTGTGAGCGGAAACTGTATAAGACAAATACGTTGGTCAATCACGAATCTTTGACTGGGGTTCTGAAAATGGTGCGACTCAGTGTCTTGAAACGTTAACAGAAATGGATGATAACCAAAGATAACAATATTCGTGCTCTTGTTTTCTTTGAAATTCTCTTTCAAATAGAAAGAAACTTCTTTAACTGAAAGAAATTTTTCTTACTTGTATCTTTAACTGGACTTTATCCTTTCCTATACATTAGTCTTTTCCACTTATTCTGTTTTCAACTACACCCCCTTCCTCTTTTGCTTCTCCATGATATTATCTATTTATTTTGTCAGGTGCATACTATTTTTGGTGTCTGGTTATGCCGAATTTTGTGTATTAAGTAAAAAATAACAAAATCCAATTGGACGTTTAGTAACCTAGTCTAGCTACTTTCACACATAAATCTACTAGTATCTTCCCCTTCCATATCTAAATAAATATTCAATTGTTGTCTTTAGTATTTGCTACCATTTATACTCTTTAATAATCTGTCTTAGATTGAAGATCACAAAAATGTTTTTTTCCAATGATAATGTTTATTTTATTCAATAGATAGAAATTTGTCTCCGATCCAATGAATTTAGCATCCATTGACAATATCATACGTGGGGCTCGACTTCAGGCATCATCAAATGACTCGAGTTATCAAAATTTTTTGGATCGTTTGGTTTTACCTGGAATGGTTTTTGAATTATCTGGACCTTATGATGGGCCTGTATCATGGTCTATTGGTCCAGGTCTTGTTTGTGTGCCGATGTCTAGAATGAAACCTGTGGTGGGAAAAAACAAAATAGTGGATTCGATTTTAGTAAGACAGGTCAGTCTTATGGTTTTTAGCTCCAAATACCGTTGTACAACTAGATTTCACCGTTCAACTTGTTGCTATGGTCATTATTTGCTTACATGAACATATGAAATGGTTCAGTGTGCTAGTCTTATCCTTCATTGATGAGTTCCTCATAGTTTTATCTTTCGGTCTTTTTGATGTATGATAAAAAACTGATTTGTTGCGGTGTAAATCTTTACACAGATACCACTCAGCATTATTCAGTTATATCTCATAGCTTACTTCGATTATCAAAACTTTTACAGCATTATGTTCTTAAAGTATACGGGTTAAGTTCTATCCATTATTATATAAATCTGCTAACGATTTATTTTCGAATATGCTGATGTGTTTTCTCATTTTTAAAAATTCTCTTAACAGTTCGGAATCTTAAAATTCAAATGTAAGAAGTTGGAAGGGACAGACTCAGCGGATACAATCAAGCGTTTTAAACTCGGAAATTCATTGAGTGATTTGAAATCAGAAAATTTCATTTGGGTAGAATGCCTTGTGTCTAATGGTTCAGTAACTACATTACTTCCACTTACTCGTCTCTCATACCGTTGTCATGTGGGACAGTTCCAACCAGAGGACAAAGTTATTGGCGTTGTAATGAAAAGAGCTGGTGAATCGTTTGTAGTTGATATAGGTTGTGCTTCTCCGGCTATTCTCAATTACTTATCATTCGAAGGTTCTTCTAAAAAGAATCGTCCTGACATTAATGCAGGTGATGTTCTTTATGCCATGATTACACGAGCCGACAGAGGTAAGTTTATTCTGTAATCACTTATATACTTTCTGTTTATCAACTTCATTATTCCCATTTTTGAGCAATAACATGTCTGTAAGCAAGCATTATTCTTAATGTAAGCCTCTTTCTTAGAAACAAACCTAGTTTTTAACGACTAGTATACTGTAAGCAAAAGTAATAATCGCTATTCTAAATCGTTTGCATCACTGTAACAATTAGTATGAGGAATAAGGCAGATTGTCAGAATAAGCATTAGTCTAACGATATCGCTCCCTGAACGTTAATGGTTGAATAATACACGGCACATTACGTTTAGAAACATTTCATTTATTGCAAGGACGTTTTATTTGAAAATCCAAACAAGTTATCAAATCCAGTTTCTTCTATGATAATACTTTAATATTTTACTACACAACATCTCTTAGTACATTTAAATAAATTGTCTCGTAGTAGCTGGATACTTACAATTTCATCATAATTGATTACTGATTTTATTTACTTTTACCTAAATTTACAGAAAATAACCACTGTTTTATCCTTCCACTCCACCTATTTATGAGGAATATTGATATAATTTGGATTGTTATCTAGAAATTGGACAGTATCTTTTCTTTCCAAAGTATTATAATAGATATTGTTGTAACTTGTCATTTTACATTAATACCATCAGTTCTGATAAATTCATAATCCATTGGAACTGTTATCTCAAGTCGATTAACGTGGTCAGTTTTTCTGAATATACGATAAGGTGTTTTTTGTATTAACAATATTGTACGTCTTAACGTCTGTTATCATTGATAACGAGATTTTGTTTTCTTAGATTTAGAGATTGAATTGTCATGTGTTGATGAGGCGGGGAAAGCTTGTGGAATGGGTATCCTTGGTCGTCATGAACCTGGAACTGTTGGTAATGCTGGAGGTCGGTCTGGTGGTATACTGTTACATTGTACGCAAGATTTGGTCAGGCGGTTAGCCAACCAAGATGAATTTCCTCTATTAAAACTTTTATCTAAGGTAAAAACTAAATGTGTATAATAATTTTTATTTATAGTTCTTATGAATATCTTAGAAACAAGTGAATTCTTTATATTAACACCTGTAGTTCCAATAAACGGAAATTCCCTTTTAGCTAGCAAGTCAGAATTATGTCATCCAAAAGCGTTGATTAAAAGTAGGAACTTTTTTGAGAACAGTATAAAATGTGATGAAATTCTATAAGTACTCTATACGTTACAATAAATAACTGTCATAGATTTGTCACAAACAGCGCAATGTAGCATAAAGTTGTTTGCTAACTAACTGACTTACTTATTTGCACTCACTGTGGACAAGCCGTTTTAGATGTTTTGGTCGGGATTGAACAACCTATCCGTATATGAATCAATGAATAATAATTGACAGACATCAAGAATAAAAGAAAAAAAAGATAATTATCTAACTGGTGATATCAAGAGAAAGGAGTAAAAGTTGTCTGAGGTTAAAGGAGATAAACATTCTAACCTCTGACATTTAATAACACAGTTTATATTTACACCAAAAATTTGTTTCATAAAGGCGAATCTAAAATTACTAAACAGTGTTTACTTTGATTTAAATTTTTTATTTTTAATATACGATCTATGTCTGACTGAAAAACAAAGAGCGCACATGTGAATGAATCAAATTCAATATTTAATTACTGCAAGTCGATGAATGAATTATACGAATGTGGAGATAATGAGAAAACATGAGTAGAATTGCTTATCCACTAGAGTGGGTAACAAGCTTTGCTAAATACATGAAAATCAGTTACACTTCGTGGTTTGTCTTTATTTTCATCGAATTAGTTAATTACTTGTTACAGTCACTTTGTACCAAGTAAAACGATAGGTTATATAATACTTTGAAATTTTAGTGGGCTTTTTATTCATGTCAATTCAATATGTACGAAAAACTTTCTCATTGAAATTGTAGACTGTTTCTAAAACAGTAAATCAGACTCATAAAATTTGTATAAATAAAATATATTTTGTATTCCTTAGTGTACTAGTCGAACTGTTTTCCAATGTTCCATTTTGAGTTAGTTGCACTTGATTAGATGTTGAAAGATGCACGATCAATATAATTATACATTTCCATAACTTAATTTCTATACTTTAAATGAATAAAACTTGCGAAAAGTCAAATACATTACGTAATAATTTTTAAAGCAGTAATAAAGTTCAATAATTTGACCGTATAACTGATTACTGTTGATATAGCTGTATCTAATAACTCCAGATTTTTGTTTATTATAATTGATAATTGTAATCACATCGTTCTGTGTATTTGTTAATATTGTTTATTTCCTGTGAACTCTTTCTTATTTTTATATCGCAATAAATATATCCAATTTATTTAATGATTGCAAGGACTTTTACTTAATGCCCCCAAATGCACTGGTATGGCCGAGAGTGGGGTCGGCCCGCCCTCCCTCTCGAAATGCCCTCACACGGCCACGCGTATACAGCCCCTGCCAGAGAAGTCCTACTCACTGCATTCTCGTGGCGGTGGTGTTGTCTACGAAAATGAGGAGACGAAAAGTGAATGTCCGGCGCTTTAACCGGATCCCAAAACAATGGTGCATATGGGCTCCAGTATCCTGCGGGAACAAATGGCGTATGAACCAATCGTTGGTCACCGGCTACCATGGGAATGCATCTCCTCACGATGCTCCACTGCCGTGTGGATTAGACCTCTAGGTTAAAGACTCGGGGTGTGGCCCCGTAAGATAACCACCTGCTTCGGTCTGGGCACCCGGGCAGTATCACAGCCCACACACACAAATATTGTGTGGCGCATATATATTTGGTGCCCTCTTGTACCAATATTTGTGTTGAAATAATAAATAATAATAACTCTTACTTAATGAACTGATTCACTGTTATTATATGTACAGTTATTGTTTTTCTTTCACTTTCGTACTGATAGTTGATATCACGTTAAATAACTTTGTTATTATTTAATAATTTGTACTTTAGTTCATGTGTATTTTTTTATATTTATTCTGACATCATGGTTTCTTATTAAATTTTCTTTTTCTTTACTTAGGTGTATCCTTTTGAAATATTCTTAGGTGCAAATGGACGAATATGGTTAACAGCTGGTTCTGCTAGAGAAATAATGATATTAGCGAATGCAATAGCTATTAGTGAACATATATCAACTAATGAATGTTGTCAATTAGCTAAAGAACTTTGTTAAATATTTTTTACATTTTGATAAAACGTCTTTTTTTTTTCTTCTTTAAATTAAATTGTACATATTTATATTGATATTGTACATTTGTAAGTCTATTTTGTATCTAATAAATTAAAGTTTACTTTGTTTTAAAAAAAAATTTGTTCATTGAAAAATCATACATGGAAGTAAAATTATTTAGAATTACAATTTGTAATGTTGATTAAAATAGACATGTTTCTCGGATAAGTTTTTCTGACAATTGGTTCAATGTAATCATCATCAATTTCATTTGAGAGCAAATAAATTGACCCTCCCCATGATCCTTTCCAATCTTGTATATGCGTGCGAATGATTAAACACTAAAAAATCACAGCAAAATAGCTTATTCATAGACATATCGATGTTGAGAATGTTAGTGACGAGTTGAAGCACGAACTGAATCAGGTATTTAAGGCGTTTCTGTCCTGTGCAAGCATAGTTGAATCTACAGTAACAATGGCAATTTTTTTTTACAGAAGAAGTGATTATTAAATTCAATATCACTGTTTTGATTTTCGGAACATTCAAACCAAAGAACACGTCGACCTTGATGTTTGAAAGATTTCCATGAAATTCAGTATAGAACAGCGTAATGAATAAATGGTATCATTAACTAAAAGGTTGTTGAGGAAAATGTGACGCTCAGTTTTCATGTAGAATTCCCACTCAAGTATAACTACAGCTAACGATACTCGTTTTTCGTTCTGAACATTTAAGTATTTGTTCGTTTGAAATACGTGGTACTTGAAGAATCGTAGTTACGAAAAGAAGGAATGAATTAATCCTAAATCATAGGCCAGTGTAAGAGAATAATATTGAAAGGTCATAGAGTTGTAGCCCCTATTGTTTTTTCTTAGCAACCAGAACTCATTGATTAATTCCAGTAAGTAGCCCTTAAAGTGAATCACTTCCAATCATTATCAACCAGTGAACTTGGACTATCAAATTCTCTGTTTACACGGAAACAAAAGAAGGGTCTTTAAGACAGTTCAGTAAATAAAGTGGTGAACTGGTAAAGCTTCTGGTGTGCGTGCATCCATAGGGTGTTTTCTTCTTAAGCCAATTTATGCAGCCTTTTGGATGATCTTAAAATGAGCTTTTGAAGAGGTTATATCAACGAAGTTGATTATCTTAATCTTATAAGAACAACACACTTCTCATTTTATGAGGTACAATTTCCTGTTCTTGACTCATTCACATCGCATTATTCTTCTAGTGGACAATCTTACATCTATAATCTATTTTCACTTTGGTTTATTTCATGATTTTGATACCTAAAAACACTTTCGATCACACTGTAAATGATATAGTATCTATCTATTCTGTTATAGATATATGGATTCTAATTAGATATGCATATGAATGTATAATTTTAATAAATGACATTGTTTAAAAGAAAACTTCCCTCTTTAAACTGTCTTGATTTCGTTCTCAACGTTGGAAAAGGATTCATTTGTTACTCAAAAACCGTTTTGTTATAATTTTCACTTATGCAACAGAAAAGTTTTCTTTTTATTTAAAAATACAGAAGTTATCATGCCTAATAATTGATTAAATGACAACATTTACTAATGTCATATTCTGATACTAATCAACATATGCTCACTAGTGACTGACTTCAAGAAATATATCCTGGAGTTCTAGTGAGAAGCAGTGACTAGTGGAGTTCAACCGGGTCAGTTGTGAGATAGTAACTCACTGATGACAATGGTGGATGTGTCGCTCAATTTCGTGGATTAGTTGGAGTTAGAAGTTAACACCATTGGATGCCGGCTCAGTGGTCTAGTCGGTTAAGCTCTTTGCGTGAAACTGACAGGTCCTGGGTTCGAATTCCGTGAGGCGGGATCGTGGATGCGCACTGCTAAGGAGTCTCACAAGAGGATGAAACGGCTGTTCAGTGCTTCAAGGTTTTCTATGATGATCTAGCTTCAATTGACTCATGATCTCAACTGTTGAAATTACTACAATCTCCACAATACCCCTTCTGATTTCTTAATATTTACTTAAAATTTTATTTTTTATATTACGTATAACATTTGAAGACATTGATGAATTTGACTATAAGGTTGAAATTCATTCAGCATTGATATACTTCATTCTTTTTGTTTATTGTTGAAATCACAAAGAAATTTGAAATAAACAGAGAGAACAAATAATTTTCTAACAAATTAGACAGTTTGAACTTAATTTGATTACATTTAGTGATATGATTTAAAATTGTTAAAGGTTCATACAAAAGTAATAAATGAGTAACCTTTATCTTCTAAGTAGTTCACTTAATTATCTTTTAAAACTCCATCTTTCTTTATATCTCTCACTTACTAAGCTACAGTTTATTTATTTTAACTGTTATAATAGAAAAAGAACATTTGGTATCTTACAGTTAAGTTAATCAATTTATTAATTTAAGCGAACTATTTTGGCGCTCAACATATATGTATAAAGTTGATGCAATACATTCTAAAGTGAATTACAAATTCGCATCTGTTTAATTCATTAATTAATTGAATTTAACCACTTTTATGTTCATTTAAACAAATCTATTTCATTGTTTTCTATGATAAATAGATCTCAACGTAACCTAACTTATTCATCTACAATAAATAGATTAATGATATTAACAGGTAAAACTGGTTTCAAAAGAATAATTTTTATTATGTAGTAGACAAACTCTATTTTTAATTGTATACATTTACTATTAGAATTGCTTAAATGTTCGTTTCATTTCTAAGAATGAAGTAAATTTTAAAAAAATGCAAGAAATCAATTTTGGTGTTTATCCTGTTCCCCAAAATAATGTTACTACTCCTACTACTCTGGGATTTGTCTTGATAATTTTGTTGCTTATATGTCATGACAATCTGATCCAATCCGTATATTTACTAGGATCTTTGTTACACTTGACTGATTGACTTATTCATAATATCATATTATGATTTTAATAAGCGTTCCAAGCAGATATAACACATTACTCTATTAAAGTACCCTATGGTATTCAACATTATATTCGCAACTATTAAATAATTAGGAAATACTTGGAGAAATGAGACGATCTAGGTGTCTGCAACTTATTGACTCATCTACAGTTAATACAAATTTAAAAACCGAATCGTGATTATGAAGACTTTAAAGTGGAAAACACTGTACTGCCATAAATTAATCATAAGAAAATTTCATTTAACAGAGAATTACTTACCTTTAAATATTATCAGAAAGAACGAATTGAGCGAAGAAATTTCTTTTCAATTAGTTTTTCATTATGGCTCTACACTAATATATATACGTTTTACCATAATAATATAATACTCATGAAGTAGATATGTTACATAATGGCATCTAAATTAACATTGATTGTTTGGAAGAAAGAGGATTATTAATATTCAAAGTGATCAAGAAGTTGCTACGTTGCGCAATGTAAGAAACAAAGAAGGAACAGAATTTTAACGGATGGTCAATAGGATGGTAGTTACGTAAGAATCAAGAAATGAATGTTGAGAATTTATTAAGTTCAAAAGCAACAGAAACAAAATTACAAAAGTTAACAAAAAAACAAGTGGAAGAAGTATGAAAAATAATTCTTTTGAAGGAAATCTTAAACTGATGGCCAGGGCAGAGAAAGTGGTTGTACGAATCTCTTTTGAATGCAAACGTCAGGTTTATGAACATGGATTGCGATGGCTTCCGCAATGTGCAAGAGTCGCACTCGTAAACCATGTGGCAAGTTTGA